TTATTATCTCTAGTAAATATCCTCACTCTATAAAGAACAACTCTCATATTGCAAATGAAAAATACAACAATCCCTTTTTTGAAACTCTCTTGAGAACAAAAGAAATACACTTGGAAGTGGTGATGGGAGAAGGAAGGATGACTACTTGGGGGCTTGTGAGTGGAGTGCTTGATCTTGTTTTTTATGCTAAACTTACAGCTTGATCGTTTGATGCTAAAAAAAAATTACCCAAAAATTGAAACTGCAGTATGCTGCCTCTCAACCATGATGTGTTGTAAGTCTGGAAGTTGTTCTGCAGTGCTGGAAATGCAGAAAAGATGAAGAAAATGGTGGTTTCTGAGTGATTTGGGTGTGTAAGGTGAGAAGTTGAAGGTGAAGGATTTTTTAGAGAAAAAATGGAAGTTTGGTACATGACGAAGAAAGTTGGAAGTGGAGAATCTATTTTTCTGCCCTACTGAAAAATGAAGGAAAAATAATGTATACAGGTACAGTGGCATTTTTGTAATTTTTGGTTGATGGATTAAAGGTGTACAGGTGGGTTTGGGTGAGCTGTCAAGTTTTGAGTGGTTTGGACATTGTTGACAACCTTCTGGTAGTGACATTATGAATTATCCAATGGTTTTGGCGAAACTTTGTTGGTCCCAGCGATGGACTGGAAATTGTCTCTTTTTGGAAATTCCTCCAACTATACGAAATTCCATCTTTGGGGAGGTGGTTGAGTGTAGTTGACGAAAACAACACTTGCACAAGATATGGTAGGTCCCCCAAGGTCTGCATAGGATTTTGAAAGATCTCCCAAGCAAACAACAATCTTCTTCAACATTTTCTAAGGCCATGGAATTTGTGTAGCCACCATTTCATTAAATACAACTACAACTTATTGATGGTGACTAAAACAACATCTCTAGTTAATCTTTAACAAGATTTCAAGCTTATTGTTAGCATCAAAGGATACTGTTTCGGGAATCAGGTCCACTTTCACGTCTTCACCACCCAACCCTTTCTGATGAAGTTGGGCAACAGTGCCAATGCCAAGTTTCGCTGATGCAAATGCCTTGCTTCGCTAGATGGGCAATGTTCATCCATCCATGCCTACCAAGCCATTATTCCCATAGTTTATCTCGAATAATTCCAATGAGCTTGGATTCATGAGCTTGTGTTTATCTGCAATGATGGCCAAATACATATGAATATATATTCAAACATTTAAACAACATACACAGTGAAGAAGGGTACTCCCTTGTGTATCAAAAGGGGCAGCGTGGATGAACGCTTGTTGTGCCCTTTTTGTTTACTGGCCATGGCAAGTGCAGGTATATTGTTGTTGTATATGGTTAGCATCGCATCAGAATAAGGAACAAGTGTGATATGAGTGTGTGCTATGATATCATTGTCTCGAGCCAAGTGTTGTTGGTCGGCGATACCTACTAACACATAAAACATAAAAGATATATGTTATGAGTCGGGATTATCGACGACTAGGAATTTTGTCCTTTTGTACAAAAGAATGATGATGTGCATGACCGTTGGCCATGTCATATAAATATTATAGGGTTAGCCATGAATAACTTCCCTATAACTAGAGGGACAATAGTGACTAGCTTTGCCCATGGCTAGAGCATGAATTACGTGGAATCGGAAGAGCACTCCCATTAATCAGCCTAGTTGCAAAGGGGTAAACATCACTAAACCAGACTCTTCCATAATAATGAATATGTGATGGAAAGAGGTGGAGTTGTCTTTATAGAAGGGGATGCTAGCAGCATCCATGGCCTCTGATATGATAAAGTGTGATACTATTGACAAATGCTGGCCCTTCTTGCTGTACCTGCACTGTCAAAGGGTGGTTGTGGTTGTTATTACCCGTTGGGCACCGCAACACCATGCACGGGTGACTACCAAGGGATCGTCGGCTGCTACTTGATGGATTTTTATCACTGGAGGGTAGCCTTTCTGTCCTATCGCAGGGTTGCAACTGTTGCCAGCCTCATGCTAATCGTTCCAAGTTGCGCTGACTCTTCGTTCGTTTTCGGGAGCTAGTGAGATAGGATATGTATAGATCTAACCCTTTGTTCATTGCTAGGAGCTAGTGTAATGAAAATATGTAGAAATGTGTAGCCTTTTACCCATTGCTGAAGGCTAGATGATATATTAAATTTGGCCCTTTGTCCATCACTGGGAGCTATGTAGATGTGGTCTGTTGTCCATTGTTCGTTGATGGGAGCCATGTATGTATAGCGAAGTTGGCTCTTTATCCATTGCTGAGAACCACAAGAGGCAGCAGTGGATATCACTACAAAGGATATGACAGTCAAAAATGTCCAGCCATGTCACTGAAGTAGATCTAGCCATGTCTGGCCATGTACATGGAAATAGATGCTAGAGTGGGTTGCATTCTGCAATGTTTCCAGCGAAGTGAATAAGTGTCATTTCTGGCGGTGTTGATTCCATTGCAGTAATTAGTAGAAAATAGGATTTGCATGTTTGGTGTGGAAAATAAGTGTTGTGGGTCTTTGCTGGTGTGGACTCGCACATGTCATTGGTTCCATAGTCATATAAATTCATCCTTCAACAACCTTTATTTAATCAACTATCCAATTAAAATTATCCATATAACATTACTGATGAAATTAATGTCGATTTTCATCATTTTTTATACCAATTAATATAAAAAAGGTGTATTAAAGGCACATGTTCAAAAAGTTCATTTTTAAATAGTAAAAGAAAAAAAAAAACTGATGGCTCTAGCAATACATAGCACAATACCAACAAAAAAAGAGAGCCATAATATGCACCTAAATTGGACAATTAACTTGCAATAATTAATCTGACTAAATTCTTAATAAGACAACAAATCTAATTTATAAAATACAATATTTTTATTTTTTATTAAAATTTAAAGTTACATCAATTCTTCCATTATTTTAATAAAAAAACTATTGTGGGAATCACATATTGGATTGTTGTGGAAAGAACTTTTGTTATATTCAACGTAAGTTTGAATAATTATTACCTTAGTGTAATGTTATGGATCAAATGTAATTATCGGATACTAGGAGATTAGTATAAAAAAAATATAATGTCATGGAATTTCATCATTCAGCCAGTAGAAATAAAAGAATTTGCAACAATGGAAGGAAAGTATTCAGTTAACACCATCTTCTCATCACTCATAAGCAACTTTTCAATCGAATTACGCCATTGAGATTTATTTGCGGATTTTGACAGAAAAGCGAAGGAAAGCAGTGGGTGGGGAAGTTTGAAATGTAAAATGATTAAATTACCATTTTGGTCCTTAATCTTTAAGTTTTGGACCAAGTTGATTTTTAAACTTTAAAACCTACCAAATCATCCTTAAAATTGAATTTTTTTTATTCCAATTTGGTCCTTTCTTCTGCCAAGTGCTGACTTGTCTAATTTTCTGTTAAAAAAAAAATCATTATCCTTCATTTTAAATATTATGTGGAAATTCTAATGGTTAAGGTGGTTATGTGATATCATATTAGCATTCCAATATGTGTTAAAAATAAATTATTAAAATAAAATAAAAAATTACAAAACTACCTCCACCACCCTTCATCTTCTTCTTGAAAACCTCTTCTTTTTTTTTTTTTACTCCTCTCCTTGAAGGATCTAAACTTCCAAATTGTTCTTGCCAATTATGAGATCTGTCTTCTTTCTCTCTCTTCTTTCCTTTTCCCTCGGCTTCTAGATTTGAATCAACGCATTGATTGGTGCAACCCAAGATTCAATTGGGATTGGTGAAGCTCTTCTTGTTAAGAAAATGTTTGAAAAGCAAATCATGGAGTAATTGGGTTGTGTATTGCCATAAAATTTTCATCATGTCACTAGAAAATGCCTCTACTTCACCCTGCACTTTCCCTCTTCTCCAATTAGATTCTTAGATATTTATCTCCATTGATTTGGTTCTTGAGCTATCAAAGTTTTTTGTTGGATTTCTAGTTGTTTTGGGGTTTGATTTCGGCTTGATATCTATACAATTTTACATGGTTTTTTAGTCATGAATTGGAGTCTTCTATACTTTCTTGGAGTGATTTTATTTGGTTTTACATCATTTTCATCATTCTTTGTAAGTAGAAGGTAAAAATTGAAGAAATCAAGAGTAAATGGGCTGAAATGACAATAGATGAAAAGATGAAGTCTGAGTCTGTAGTTTTTCCATTTGAAGACCAAAACTTCAATTATTATTATTTTTTTTTTTCACTTCTATTCGCGTGCTGTGCACAACATTGGACATGTGGGCTTTCTTTGTTTTATTGTGGAGAATGCGCTGGGCTTTTAATAAGGGCACATGGTTGGAGACATAAAAAGGAAAGGGAGTCGGTGGAGTTGGAGCAGAGAGAGAGTCGGTGAAGCATTTTTTGGAGGTAGACCAAAGCACAACAGCTCTCTGTGTGGGTGTCGGTGGAAACAAAGGCAGCCACTAAGGAAGTTTTAACCAAGAATAAGGGGAGGAGTGCACAAGTTTAGTGTATAAAATTGGTTCAGTGTACTAAAAATTAGGTTTTGCTCTACTTATACTTTACTTTTTTCTTTTTCTTTTTTTTTTTAATTTGAAATTGTGGTTTATCGATTTAATCTCAAATTTTATCATGATTTGTATGAACTAATTTAGCCATCTAAGATTATGATATAACCTAATTAATTTGATATAGAATTTCATGATTTTTACGCTTCCAAAGTTTATTACTTTATGTAGAGTATATATATTATTGTTCTTAATGTTTTTTAATGATTGGCCACTATTAAAATTGATTTGGAGAGCATAATTGAGATTGAAAGGAGATTTTATATAGTAATTTCTAGTAATATATACCATGAACTGAACAAAAACCAATGATAACTAACATGATTCATGCAGCATTAGTAATAAATGGAAGGGAGGGGTTGTGGAAAAGGGTAGTGAAAGAGAAATTTTACGAGGGTAAGCAAGAGGTGGGTATTATAGATGTGGAGAATTTAAGGGTGTCGCGGATTTGGGGAGACATAATAAGAATAGGTGGGAATTCTGAGAAGTTAAAAAATATGTTAAGGCAGGGGTTCCGGTGGGAGGTGGGGGATGGATGCCGGGTGTGTTTTTGGAGGGATATTTGGGTGGGGAATAAATCTCTTCGAGATCTATATCCAAGGCTTTTTCAATTAGCTATCAACAAGGAAGGCACGGTTAGGGAGAATGGAACATGGGAAGGGGAAAGTTGGAAATGGGGTATAGAGTGGAGGAGAGAGAGGATGGGTCACGAAAAAGACGAGGAGAGAGGGTTGGGGATGGTGTTGGCAAGTATAAAGTTAAGGAAGGGTATGGCAGATTCATGGCGGTGGAAGTATGATGCAGAAGGGAGGTACGTTGTAAAGACAGCATATGAATTTTTAGATCCCGAGGAATGCTTGCTTGAGAGACATTTATGCAAGTTGATATGGTGTAAGTTGGTGCCTTCAAAAGTGGGGTTTTTTGGGTGGAGGTTGTGTTTAGATAGACTTCCAACAAGGTGGAACTTGAGGCAAAGAGGGGTGGTTTTACAAGGGGATGGTCTGGTGTGTGGGCTTTGTAAAGAGGGTGTGGAAGATGTTAATCATTTGTTTTGCACATGTAAATCAGCTTGGTTAGTATGGGTTAAGGTGATTAAGTGGTGGGGTTTGGAGGTAGTAATGCCGGACACAGTGAGGGGTGTGGTGGACTTCTTCCTGTGGTGGTTGGGCAGTGTGGGGGGTAAGGAGATGGGAGCATGCATTTTCTTGGTCACCTCTTGGTATTTATGGTTCTGGAGGAATATTTTGGTATTTAGAAGCAATGGGGAGTTTAAAGAACAATTGCTTGAATTAATTCAAGTGAAGTCTTATTTTTGGATTAAATATAAGGTGAATGGATGTGCTCTCTCATTAGCTCAGTGGCAAAGCAATCCCAGGGAATGTGCAATGGAGCTGAAGCGTTACAAGAGATCTCTCAAAGTGTTCACTAAGCAGCAGCAAAGGCATCTTCCCAATTAACTTTCACTGGATGTATGGACTTCTAGCGGGCAAGCTGGACGGTTGCTTTCTTTGGTAATTGTTTGGGTTGTCAGCATGCTTTTGTGCGGGAGTTCTTTTTCTGATTTTGTTTGGGGTTATGCATTTTATACTCTTTATAGATGGGCAGGAGTACCCCTTGTGCTCCATTTAATATAAATAAAATTTTGTTTGCTGATCAAAAAAAAAAATTGTTTACGTAGACTATTACATCTTCATCTATTTAAATTCACATAAAAATATG